TAAAAATCACAACCTTGGCGTAAAAAGTGGCGTACGCAAGTTTTATAAATCCGACCCCAGGTGAGGTAAATAAATGAGTGAGGATCTCACGTCTGTGACGATGGGGACGCCCAGGTTAGCCATGTTGGTGATGATCTCACTGTCCTCCGGAGGAATCTGAGCGTGTTGGATCAGTTTGTTCAGGTTCTCCTCTGTAATGCCTGAGGACACACACACACAGACACACACACACAGAATGACCACCATGTTTACTATGTCCAGCTGTCCTGGGTGACTTGAAGGTAAAAACTTTCTGAATGTCTCATGCAGCTGACTGGCTGAGCTCACCGTTCTTGAGGAAGATGTAGAGCAGGATGATGCGGATCTTGTCGTACGTGCTGACGTTGGCGTCCAGCAGGATRGGCACGATGGCCCTCATGGGGTCTTTGATCTTCTCTCCTTCGGCGTCCGTGCCCATGGCCAAATCCTACGACGTGAAACGACGTTTTTTTATTCACAGTTTAACTTTTTAACCTCCTTTTTCTTYCCCAGAACAGGCTCGGCTCTGACCTGCTCCACGCGGCACAGCTTGTCCACGGTGCCCTGGTAGTGCTTCATGCAGTCCTCAGCCAGCTGCAGGTGAGTGGAGTACTGGAGGAAAACACAAGAAAACAAACAGGAGCTGGTATGAAAGCACGCACGAGAAGAGGTGCTGACTTTTAAACACACACCTTGCTGAGCTCCTTCTGGTACTGAGGCATCTTCTTCAACATCTGGGACAAATCCCTCATCGTGGTCTGATGGAACAAAAAATGTAKTTAGTTACCAGGACTGCAACGATACAGAAAATTCACGGTTCGGTTCAATAATTTAGTGTCACAGTTCGATATTTTTTCGATACAAAACAGAGTAATGTCCAGGCCCTTTTTAACTTGTAATTTATTTAAATTAATTTGTTTAACATGTGTTTAACCTCAAAAGTCCAGTTTTTAAATTAAATGTTGCTGAAACAGCAAGTTTCTCAGTGGATCTGTGCTCGACAATACAGCCTAGGTGGAGTAGTCGAACACAGATCCACTGATCCTTCAACACAGAGCGTCTTCAGAAGACAAGTTGATAAAATAAATGTTAAAGATCTGTATTGATCGATACAAGTGTGTATTGAACCTAAAGCTCTGTATTCAATGGTTTGATACGGGTACATGTATTGTTGCACCCCTATTAGTTACATAAAAACAAATCTGAGATGAAAAATTATTGTTAAAAAGTTGGTTTGTGTTGGGCTTTGAGTTTAAATCAAATGGAAACTAAGACCAGTGGCGGTCACAGTTCCTTTAATCTGCTAATAATGGAGCTAATCCATCATTTAGCCAATTAGCACCTTTGCTAACGTTGGAAACTGTTATCAGACTAATTAGCTCCCAATAAACTTAGTTCACTAGCAAAATCAAAATCCGTTAGCATAAGAATCTTAGCAGGTTATACGCAACATACTTCTTAAGCACTGGTGGGCGCAGCTAACCAACACGTTAGCTTTGCTAACTAAAAAATTAGCTTTGCTAATACTAAAACACTAAACAGGTCAAAAAAATCGTGGAAGCTAACATTGAAACTGCATACACAACTATCCACCGAAACCTCATAATCTTGGGTAAAAGCTCATAAAAACTATTTCTACGTTCACCAAACAGATAAAACCATAACTTTTTGTTTTTGTTAGCCGACTTCAACTTAGCAGATACAAAATTGTTGGAAGCAACTTGATCTGCTAACAGTTTACAAAGTTAGCTAAAATGGTAATCTAGTATACAAAAGTTAGCTTTGCCATTCGCCAATCAGCTAACTAAAAACTTGCTAAAGCACTAAGGTAAAAAATATATAAAAGTTAACGCTAACCGATAACTCAGTGTCTGTCATTTAAAAATAAAATTGTGTGGTATCCACAGGAATGTCAGAATCTTAGCTAAAAGCTCATAATTTTTTTTACATCCACCAAACAGTTAAAATCACAAGCAGTTAAATCAGTGATACCAAGTTTACAAATTTAGCAAAAATGCTAATCTGCTAAACAAAATGGTAGTTTTCCCAGTTAGCTGTTAGCAGGTTAGCAGAACTGTGCCTCCACTGCTCCCTAATTACTTATTCGATACAAACAAAAGTTTTGTTTGTTTTTTAAATTTAATTAAAGAAAAATGTTGACAACTTGGAAAAAGTAACTCTTAGTTTACCTTCTCATAAAAGATTAGATGAAAAACTTACTAAATTCTGTTTTTCCACAGGTTTTGAAACAAATCTGTACCTATAAGACTACTCATCCTGAGATTATTCACAGATACGAGGCAAGGCACACAAGGAAGTATGGAGAGCCATTTCATTCAAAAATAAATAAATAAATAAATAAATAAATAAATAAATAAGGTCAAAACTTATTTTATAATAGAAAAGTAAATAAATAAATAAATAAATAAATAAAGACATGCTAAAAATGTATTATGATTTTACTGATTTTGTTTTATTTCACAAGGACATTTATGTATTTGATGGGATATTTATTAACACTTTATTAATTACATTATTTATTTAATTTTGAATGAAACGGCTCTCCATAAGGAAGTAAGTTATTTCCTGAGATGTAATGAAAAGTTCTCAAAACAAACAAATGTACCTTCTCTCCGGTGTTCATCCTCTTGCTGGAGGAGAACTCCTTCAGCTGGCGYGTCACTTCCCTAAAAAAACAGCAGAAAACAATGAGCGGCACCAACAGGAAGGATGTTTTTATTAAACTGAGTTTGTAATAATGTAGAGAAATCCTCACTGGGAAACCTCGGCGATGTGTTTGTGTCTCAGGCTGACCCACAGATCGTCGTCTTCATGCAGGAGCACCTCCTTCATACGAGAGTCTCCGATGCCGCTGGTCTCATATCTGATCAGAAAGTCAAAATAATTATTTTACCTGTGGATTTATTTTGCACTCATCTGAGGGGTGCTTCCTACTTGTAGACGTCGTTTTCGATGGGCAGCAGGTCGTAGCCCATGGCCTGGAAGGTGAGCTCGTGCAGGACAGGTGACACCGGGTCAAAACCTCGGTCCAGGATGATCAGCTGTGAGCGAGCCTTATCAGGACCCTGAAAATTGTTTGCATTTTTWCACAGTTAGTCAAATTTATCTTGAAAAAACTGCATAAACTTATAGTTTTAATGGGCCTCATGCAAGAAAATTTTCATATTCTTATCCTAAATTTCTCTTATTTTTGTCACGTCAGATTTAACAAACTCTTCTATCTTCAGGAAAAGTGAACAGCGTAAACTGATGAATGTCACCTGTTCATTATGCTCGCACACAAGGAGAGGAGATTAGCATAATTACCACCCCAAAAACACCATATAAGGCTACGTTTCCTGCACCACATACCAGGAAAATGTCCATTCATAAATGGCATTACGTAGTAAAAAGAAGAACTTCACAAGTTTGGAGACTGAAGTCCTGCTTTCAGAGATCAAGAAAAGAAAATCTGTCATTTTTAGCAGCGTCAGCTGTGGAATTAAAGGAGCTGCTAAAGCTGAGGAATGAAATGTTCTGTTAATGTCGTGTCTCCTGTGGGTCGTACAGTCACAGAAATAAAAATMTAAATCATCTCCATCTCTCTAGTCCTGCTCCGCTTTCCCTTTGGTCAAATATTTTTAATTCAAGTGTAAACACCTGCGTTAAATAATTCTCATTTAACCCTCCTATTATGTTGCGGGTCAAATTGACCCATGTCAAAGTTTAAAAATGTTTTTAAAATAGTTTTAAGTATTTTTTCAGAATGAAACTTTTTCTATTTGTTTTAACAAGTATAATGAACATATAAAATGAAAATGGTTCATTTAACATATATGCAACCTCCCATACATCTACGTATTACATAGATCAAAATGTAAAAAAATATATAAAAAATTCACATATAACCATTGTGTGTAGGTTCCTTTAGTGGATAAAAAAAATGTAATGTGCTTTTGTTTAATTGTGAATTGTCCTTATTGACAATCTGTGAAAAATAYAAAAAACATCAACATGTAAATACTGATGAAATGGTCAGTAATGAAGTCAATAATCAGACACAACAATGTTTTGGGTGATCTTTTTTTTTTTGGTTTCTGACATTATTACATAATAAAACATTCCCCGGGACAAACTGATGCAGGAACAATATTGCTGTTCATCAGAAATGAATATAACAGTTAAGAGAGCAACAGCACCCCCCCACCCCGCTGTCGCAAGTGGTGTCAGATGTGGTTCTGATAAAAGCATTTTAAAATGTCTCCAAAATATGTCGGGCACTTTAAAGAAAATAGCAGAGCTCATGTGCTGAATAAATCTCAACAAAATAAAGTTTGCTTAAAAAATAACATGATCTATAAAATTCATTATATCCTGAGACAAATGAAAGTATAATTTAAGTTGTTTTATATCGTTAGTCTACATTATTACATTTTAAATTAACATAATTGTGGAGTGTGATTTATTTTCAACTCTAAATATCTTCAAACTAACGAAATATAAAGTTATTAAA